ATCCTTGTAAAGATTTACGTTGACCAGCACGGCTCTTCCTATGATACGCATCTCAGAGGAGAAATATATGTTATTTCAGTAAATAAATACACAGTGCATGTGTTCTTCAGCGATGCCTAAAGAAGTAATAAAGTGTGACCGTCTTCAAACAGAAGAGGGAGCCTTCTGCTGCTCATAATGCTGCTCTGGTTTACTTACTAGTGTTCCCGGGAGGAAATACTGAAAACCCAACTCATCATTGCCAACACTGACACTGACGTGGTGGAAGACCACGGGCCCAGTCTGGACACCTTATGTAGGAAATAGCCACGCAGGTGTCACTGCTACCTTTTTCTGACGTTTGGTTTTTTTTTTATTATGTATCTGTTGTTAAGAGATTCTCTCAAATAGATATTATATTAAAATGATGCCAGAGTGAATTAAGATCTCAAAGCATTTTTGTTGACATCCTTAGTGGACGTAGATCTGTTAGTGTTCTCACAGAGTGAGATCAATGTCCCTGCAATAAAGACGTATGTGGCAACGTTGTTAATGGCATTTTTCACGTGCATTGAAGAGAACCGCCTGGGAAAATTCAGTGTTCAGGGGAGTATTCTGAAACTGTAACGCTGAGGAGACTAAGTAACTTGGAGTCATTTTTCTTCCGTGATTTGCCCCCGGAAAAGCATTTTCCTTTAATCAGGAGGACGAGTACCAGAAGCACAGAGAATGATGTGATGCATCGACAAAGGTAGGGACATCCGTGCCGTGCAGTTCGTACACTCACGGAGTTCTTGTAGTTTTTAGATTTATGTTCAGTTTTGAACTTGAGCTTGAATGCTGAATTATCCTTTCCTCATATGTGAAGTGAGGATTATACTACAGTGTGTATGTCTTCAAAAGAACTTAATACATTTTGGAAAGGATATGAAGCTCCCAGATGACACTGAAGGGAGGTGTCAGCTCTTTATTAGCTGTGAGAGCCTCAGGCAGGAGAGAGGAGTTTAAGGAACAAAAGCGTCAGACAGACGCCTGGTAGGAATGCCTTCATCTCATTACAGTATTATCACAACGTAACCCTAATCCTGTAATAGGAAGTGCTCGTTGGATAAACACGTACATACACCCCCACCACCACCATGCACGCTCCACTGTCACTGAAAGTGGAAGTATCATTAAGAACTTGAAACGAGAAAGCTGAGTTGGCTGTCTACTGACACCAGCACCTGTGGCCTGCAGCCTACCGATGACACCCTTCACCCGGCGTCCAGTGTGTTCCTGCACGGGTTTACTCTATGTGAGCTGTGATAATTAGCTTTACGTGTTAACATATAAACTAAGCACTCAGTCATTTAACCAATCATTCGGTGCTGCTGTGAAGGTATTCTGTAGACAAGTAACACAACAGTCAATTGACTTTAAGTAAAGGAGGTTACCCTGGATAATGGGGGTGGGCCCCATGTAATCAGTTGAAGGTCTGTATCCCTCAGCCTGAGATTTCCTAAAGAAGAAGTTCTGTCTCAGGATTTCAGCATCTGCCTCCGCCTGAGTTTCTGGCCTGCCATCCTGCTCTGCAGATTTCGGGCATGTCAGCCTCGCAGATGTGTGAGTCAGTTCTTTAAATCTTCATTGTAGGAAAAAAAATTAATAGTTTCTCTGTGAGCTTTTCTCATAACCTCTTGATTTGATGTAATTAAATAATTGAGTGTATTAATATTTAAATAAAATATTGAAAATCAGGTTTTTGCTTTATCAATAATGATGTCCGTCAAGCCCGCAAATGAGTTTCTAAATGATGCGGCTTAATGTTCATCTTTAAATGTTCCTGGTAGTCTATAGGAATTAAAGTCTGTAAACGCACAATTAGAAAGTGCCCCAAATGTTTAAAATTTATTCCATACTAAATACAGTGAACGTCCAGCCTTGTGTGTGGGGCACAGTGAACACACGAGCGTTTTCAGCTGGAGATTGATTGGGGAAGGATGCATTGCATGCTGAAATGCTAATGCATTTTCAGGGTTTGAATCCCTTACTGAATGACACTTACTATATTGACGTTCCCTGATTCTGAGGAGAGAAAAAAATATGTTTTGGTAATTACATTCTGTGACTGAAATGAAAATTCATAAATAATGGCAGTGGAAAGATACACTATAAAAAAAAGGTGTAAGCCACAGGAAGGCATTCCTGTCGCTGCACGTGGAGCCACCGGCACGTTTCCTGAGGTGCCCCGAAGCCCCCTTGCAAGGGATGACATGTCTTTAAAAACACATTATATCATTAACAGATCCTATTTTATCTCACAGTCATGCCAATGCCACACGATCAAATGCTGCTACCGGGCTTCCCGACCCATCCAGACATCTGACAGATGGTGACAGGCAGTGAGTCGGGGCGAGCATCATGGAAGCCGTGACGCCGGAGGTCTGTCTTAGCGTCACTCAGTCTGTAAAGAAACCAGAAAATGTTAGCGGGTTTCTGCACTTCTCCCTGTGACCAAACCAAACGCATACCTAATGGGAACAGATTTCCAGTGCGGATTCAGAACATCCCCCGCAGGGATGTAAGAACATAAGGGAGCTCACTTACTGCTGCCCTCGCACTGTGGTCCCACAGGATAGACACCCCCCCCCAATAAATAAGTCACATTCGGTCACTGAGGGCACTGGGTCAGGTGATTTTCGAAGTAAGAGACAGAAAAACTGGTGGAAATGTTCATTTTAGCAGTTTGTGATAAGATTACGCTTTCTTACACTCACATTAGAGTTTTAAATTTTGAAGGGGCAGTTGTTAATAAAGAGTAGAATTATGTGACAGAAGGTATTTTTAAGGGCTGAATTTGAGAAACAGAGAGCTGAGGGCGGAGGGATTGGAAAACATGGATTAAACAGCCCCAGACGGAAGAGGCAGGAGACAGGCTGGAGATGGACAGATTAGGGTGGAGCGGAGGTGCTGGTTCTGGCCGAGAGGACAGTCCAGGCGGTGTTTGTCGACTGGCTGACTGGGGGGGAGTGGCTCAGCTCAGCGGGTGCCAGTGCTTTGGCCATCATCTGTTATCCCTTCCCTGCTGTAAAAGTCGCTCTGTGGTCCTCCTGAGCTGAACCTCAGGCAGCGTCACGATCACCTTGTCTCCTGGCCGTGGACACGAGTGCTTTGTGGGGTTTTTTTTGTTGTTGTTTGTTACTTCTTTTAATTTCTAAAGAGAAAAATTATTTAAAATGGCTTTATAGATGTAGTTCTCTAAATACTGTGGCTGAGTCCAGTTTTTTTAATTGAAGAACAGTTTACAATGTTGTGTCAGTTTCTGATGCACAGCACAGTGATTCAGTTGTACACATACATATGTTCCTTTTCATATTCTTTTCCACTATAGGCTGTTACACGATGTAGAATATAGTTCCCTGGGCTGTACAGGAGGAACTTGTTGTTTATCTATTTTATATGTAGGCGTTAGTGTCCGCAAATCCCGAACTCCCATTTTATCCCTCCCCACCCCCGTCCCCCGGGAACCGTCAAAGAGCGCTTTGTAGACCTACCACACAGAATCTTCCCTCGTTTAAAAGCCTCATTTCCGACCTTAACACCTGTCCTGACCCATTTCCAACTGCATCTTTTTCTTTTTCCATTTTAATTCTTGTCTTACAATGTTTTGTAAGCTCCCTTTAAATTATTCAAAAGCCTGGGGTGTCACTGATAAAAAAAACAAATCAATAGGTAAGTAAATGAATAATAAATCTATAACCAGAGAACACAGCCCTACAGATGTTAATGATAAACAGGAACACTTTCAGTGATGATTCCGTTCAGAAACAAAACAGACATGTCAAAAATCTAAACCTCCTCTCCAGGCTTTCGCCATCCTTTTCTGTCTCTTTCTGGTTTTCTGGGGAATGAAACAACTAAAACACGAATGTTCACAAAGCAAGTTTCAAAAAAATGGCCAAGATTTTAAAAAGTGAAACTGTAATGACGGCCTTCTCATCAGTGACCAACATCATGATACGAAATCTCGGAACAAGGAAACACGTGCGATCCGTTAAAGTCCGCCTGTGCCTTTCTGAGCTGGGCCGTTTCTTTCCTCCCCTGTAATGACTGTATTTGCTTGTCAAAGGGACAGAATGCTTCTTAAGTTTGCTTGCAGCTTCACTTCCAGAAACATGTACCTAAAAATTGAGGCGGCATGTGAAGGGCTTGCAGACACCTATCACACTCCGTTTTTGGACACCACTTGTGACACTGACATGACACTTGTGATCTTTAAAGAGACCGGCCTCTGATCAGAAACCGTTTCGTCTCCGCTGTTTTAATCTAGAACGTTAAGCAAACAAAAGCATTTTCAGGCTTTGTATCACGCAGAGGGAGCGCTCTGCTCCCTTGGGAAGCACCCCTCTGGCCGAACGGAGGGAGCTGTCTCACCTGGAGCACCCCCGCCCCGGCTCAGCCCCGGGTGCCTGCAAGCGCCATACCGCCCGCCGCTGTCCCGTCGCCATCCCGCCGCCCCCCACTGTGCTCAGTAAGCCTCGGAGCGCTGCTCTGCGTGGCTCACTCAGATTCAACACACAGTCTTCACTGGGGCTCTCTCAGGTTGTATCCCAGGCAATTCAGGTTCATGAGCATTTGAGTGGAATAAAAACAAAAATTGAACTTTCTGAATTCTTGCAGAGAATCTGAAAGGCAAGTGGGTTTGCTCTTAGGGACACCAGAACCCCTGTGGTCCGGCAGGCTTAGATTTCCAACCCTGAAATCCTGTTACATCTTCGCGGGTCTGTCACCTGCCTCGGTGCCCTGTGTGTGGGAGACACTCATGAATATATATGGAATGAAAGGAATGACCCAAAACTGTTTCTCCGAGTGGGAAAGGTTCATTTGTCCCCACTGTGAACATGAGACACTTCCAGACTCTCTGGCCGCGCTTCTCCGTCTTCTCCCTGTGGAAAAGGTCCTAGGTCCTCAATGTGTTCCTGAGTCCAGGCTCGGACTGCTCACCGAATGAAAGGCCAGTAAAAGATCGAGAGATGAGGTGTTGGGGCAAGAAACAGTGACTTTACTCAGAGAGCCAGCAGACCGAGAAGATGGTGGGCCAGTGTCCCAAAGGACCATCTTACGTGAGTTAGAATTCAGGCTGCTTTTGTACTAAAAAGGAAGGGAGGGTGGCTGGTTGTTGGAGACTTCTTGGCGGGCCAGAGCGTGGGGCGCGTGATAGTCCTTTGTTCTTGCAGCTGTCTGCTTAGGTCTGGTCACCATGTTCCTGCAAACCTGTAACAAGACAAGTTGTTATCTTCTGAGTTCTGCAACTTCTTATTTTTATATAAATGAAAAGTGTTAACGCCTTTAAAGGTCAAGCCTGGGAGGCAAAGCCCTGAGAAAGGGCTGTCATGTGTATTTCAGGCTACAGGCAACGTGCCTTACAAAAGGTGCAGAGCCCGCGTGACTCGGCACAGGCAACAGAGCACAGAGGTTAGAGCTGAAGGAATAGATCCAACATGGAGCCAGGTTTGTTGGCCTGTTACAAGTAGAGCAGGGGTGTAACCAGGGAGCGTACAGGCGGGGAGACGGAGTGGTGGGAAGAGACTGTCCTTTCTCATTGTGTATCCTTGGCTCCTTTGTTATGAATTAATTGACCATATATGCATGGGTTTATTTCTGGGCTCTCTATTCTGTTCCATTGATCTGTGTATCTGTTTTTTATGCCAGTACCATGCTGCTCTGATTACTGTAGCTTTGTAATATAGTTTAAAATCAGGGCGATGATGCCTCAAGGTTTGTTCTTCTTTCTCCAGATTGCTCTGGCTATTTGAGGTCTTTTGTGGTTCCACACAAAGTTTAGGGTTGGTCTATTTCTGTTAAAACTGCCAGTGGGATTTTGATAGGGATTGCACTGAACGTGTAGACTGCTTTGGCTCGTACGGACGTGTAAACAACAGCAAAATCCTCTCAAGTCAGCCAGGGACAGGTACTGTTTCTAGGTGGCACTAATTAACTGAGTGTCCATATTTTAGAATTAATTTTAACTGTTGATAAGCAACTGATACACAAAAATTTCATATGTATAATATATTAGTTTGGTCGGTTTGAATGTATATCTACACTCTAATTTTGATAGTACCTTTTCTTAGTTGGATGTTCTAAAGGGTTTTGACGTCCCTACTCACAGCACCCCACCCCCCCTCCTGTCTTCTCTCCCCGTGGGACACTGTATTCGTGTCAGCAGGAAAGGACACTGCATTTATTGATAAGATATTTATATTGAACAGAACAGAGCAGGAGAAGTAGCATGGTTGTCATGTGGAATGTCAGAACACTGTGTTCAAGCCCCAAATCCTCTATTGATTTGGTTGATGCTGGCTGACAGGCTGTTGATGTTAAGTATAGAAAACAACATCGTAGGACAAGAGTCAACTTTAGTTCCTGTTTTTCATGGGTCTCAGATGGAATCTAAGTGTCCACGTCTGTGAACTAGTGAGGTGGGCAACTTAGTACTTTTGTTTCCGTGGACTGAGGTAGAGGGTGCTGTGCAAACTCACGGGTCTAGTGGGAAGGCTTCATTCAAACTGAGTGGCTCAATTCAGTGAGGTGTTACTTACTGTCTCTTAAATGGATTCCTTAATGAATTTCAAATATTAAGCAATCTCCATCACTCTGGAAAAGGTTTTATTTCAGTATTTCTTATACAATATTTAAAAGTAGAAGGGAGTTAAAATTCACACCTCCCAGCTGGCAGTACTGAGATGTGTGGAGGTCAGATGATTCTCCTGTCCTTCTCTACCTGAAGTTTGAATACAAAGAACAGAATCTTGTGTTAATGTGTGTTCAGCGCAGTGTTGGGCTTTTGTTTCTCATTTATCTGAAACCAAAAAGCCTCAGGATGGGAGCTGCATTTTTTCACAACAAAAATAAAGCCATGGGGGTATCAGCGGTGACTGACCTGTGCTGTCAGGTCCTAGCGGCAGCTCTGTGAGCTGAGTGATGATGCTTCCACCCACTGTAAAAAGATGAAGGCAGACATGGAGAGGTTAAAAAACTTGCCCAAAGTCACAGGGTGTGAGTCCATGATCTGGTCTTGAGTTCTTAACCACCGTATTCTAAGTCAGCAAATGCCACCCTGTCCTCAGTTTCATCTACGCCAGGCGAGTACTCCCCAGAGGCCTGCTGCACAGCTGCGGCCTCCTTCAGTGACGCCGTGCTGCGCGCTGACAGTTCTGTGAGGGGGTAAATCTCGTGGTAAGTGTTCTTGCTACACACAGAAAACGCGCAATTCTGATTCATCTCTTTAGCTTCGTACCAGATACAAATTTTCATTCTGTGTAAGGGCATTCCCTTTGTTTCCAGTTGTTTTGGTCACTTTAACTAACATTTCAGTAACTGCATGTTCATGTATTTCCCATGGGAGGGGGCCCCGCCGCTGGCGCCACCTCACCTCGGCCCATGGGGTTTCTTAGTTTTATTAGTTACTGCCAGACAGTCTCACACAGGTTTTGCCAATCTACTAAATTTATATGTATGTTACATAATACATATAAATTATATATTTGTATATAATAAAATTTATATATTATTGATATAAGTGTATATATGTAAATTTATATGTGATATGTAAATTATATAATACAAACCATGTACTTTACATATTACATAAATTTAGTGGATAAGCAAATACATACATAGAGAGAGAGGAAGAGCCTTATTTTGCATTATCCCACTTTTTCTCGTGTTTGAATGTGCTCCCCACAAACATCTATTACTCATTTACGTTTGGCTGACTTTTCCCTTCGGCTGTTTCGCGTTTTCCCAGTTGTGAGTGTTCTGTTTGTGTTGATTTATGTCACTCACTTGCTTCGCTGTGGACACACCCACCGGGCTGGGCTCAGAACTCACACTGCTTGCGTCCCCTGCGTTAACCGACCTTGGAAGTGGTACCTTTGGGGGCTTCTTACAGCAGAGAGGGGCTCATCATGGGGTTCCCACCCTGTGGCCACTGGGCAGGGGAACGGTGGCAGCTCCCCCCTCTCCCCAGCCCCCCACAGAGCTCCCTGGAGAGGAGGCTCCGCCTGTGGGAGGCAACAGTAGGAACCTGGTGGGGGTCCCCCCAGCTCACTGAAGTCCGCCAGGGCAGTGGCGCTGGGGCTTGGCCCCTTCTGCCTTGAGACTGGGCCCCAACCCGGCACGTTTCCGTGGGTGGTGTTTCCCTAGACGGTGGTCAAGAGGCCCAGGCTCGGGGCCTGAGCAGCACCTCACTCTGGGAACCGTCTAGGAAACTCAGTCCATGGACCTGGAGGAAAAAAGAGCAGGGGTCCGGATGTTCATTTCTGAAGGCCCGGGGGGCCTGGAAAAGCCATGGCCGTTGCACGGTGCGCGCGCTGAGGTCAGGGAGCCTCTTCAGGCCCCGGTGTCCCTTCCTGCCCTGGGGGTGACCTCACGCCCCAGGGTGAGCCTGATCCCAGCATTCAGGCGAGGCACCTCTGCACAGGCCTGACAACTCAACGTCTGTGTGCTTGGCCAAACGTAGAGATGCCTGAAGCTGGAAAACTCCACTCGAGATGGAGCCTTCTCCCACGTGGGCCCTGAAACTCTGCCTGCACGCCTGCTTCTCCTGGCGTCTGTGGTCTCTTCTCTACACAAAACTGCTTGTGCATAGTAACATCCTGTGTGATCACTCCACGTGAGCACCTCGGAAATACTTGTATGTGGCGTCATATCATGTGTGATGTTTACACATAATGCACAAAGCAGGTGTGCACATAACCTGTCTTTTCTCCTAGACTTAAAAGAATTTTTTTTATCTTTTCCTCTAGGGAGAAGACATTTTTTGCAATCCCTTTATTAGTCATGTTATCCTGATTTTTATTTTAAAATATTTATAATTTTTTTACATAAAGTCTTGACTCTATTTGGAATTTATTTTTGTAAATGGTATTTGGTTGGGTTCCATGATTTCATTCTGTGTTGATTTTTTCCAAAGAAACAGATTCTGAGTTCCTCTTTTGACTGTTTTTTGTGTTTCTTGCAGTAATCACAGTTTTAAAATAATAATTCTTTTTATCTAATTTAAATTTTCGGGTTTTTTTCTCTAATTGCTTAATAGGGTTTTATAGGTTTATTTTACTTTTTCTTTTCCGTCATTGAACTCATCTAAGGCTTTAAATTGCTCTGAATACAGCTTTCATTGAGTTACGTAGGATTGGATTATATTCTGAATTGCTTTATGTTGTTCTTTTTCACGACATCAAAATAATTGGCCATTTTGATTTACCTGATTAATGATTATTGCTTAGAAATCAAGCAGAATTTTTCTTCTTGAGGTAAGTATCAGACAATATACAGGTAAACGTTTTAGAGCATACAGTTCAGTGACGTTTAGCCCACTCAGTGCTGTGCTGTCACCACCCCGTTTAGTACCAGAGCCTTTTCATCACTCAGAGGAGCACTTCATTCACCCTTAGTAACGCCTCGCCTCCCCCTCCCCACGCCTGCCCCACTTCCCTGCATCTCACATCTGCTTTGCACAGTTTCTCCTAGTCTGGGTATTCACATAAAAGAAGTCACTTGCTTTGTGGCCATTTGTTTCTGGCTTCTTTAGCTGAGGGCACGTCTGTAAGGTTCATCCAAGGTGCAGCGTGGATCCGTCCCGGGACCCCCCCCCCTTTACTGCCTGAGTCACGCGCCCGTGTACCGGCGCCACCAGCGGGAGGACCGCTGAGCTGCTGGACGCTTTGGCTCACGTGTTTTCATTTCACTTAGCTGTAAACCCAGAGTGGAGCTGCTGGGTCACCCCGTAATTCTGGGTTGATCTTTCGGCTAAAGTGCCAAACTCCAGCGCGCTTTGGCGCCACTGCCTTCTTAACGCGGCCCTCTAGTCCGTGCACGCGGGACGTCTGCGCGTTCCGTTAAGTCTCCGTCCTTTCAGAAGTTCTTCCTAGTTTTCAGCACCCAAGTCTTTCATCTCTTCGGCTGAATTTATTTGCAGATGCCTATTCCTTAGGTGCTACTGTAAACGTAACTGGCTTTTAACGTGTGTTTTTGGATTGTTTATCGCTGGTGTATGGAAGCCAGAAAATGGTTCTGAATGTTGATCCTGCGTCCTCCGTCCTTGTGGAATTCACTCATCAGGTCTAGCAGTGCGTGTACGTGCGTTCTTTGGGACTCATGTATTCCATATGTAGAATTACTTCATCTGAAAATAGTTTACTTCTTCCTAATTTGGATGCTTTTTATTATCTTTTCTTAATTACTTTGGCTGGGACCTCCAGAATATTGTTAAACGGCAGTGGAGAAAGTGAGCATCTTTGTCTTGATTTTAGGGCGAGAGGCTGCCAATTTTTTCCCTCAATACTAAGTTTCATGTTACCCTTGAGTTTTCCATAAAGGCCGTGCATATCATGTTAACTAAATTCCCTCCTACTGCTAATTTTTGAGTGGTTTTATAACGAAAAGATGCTGAATTTTTTTTAACGTCTTTTCTCTGCTGAGACGACCGTGTAGTTTTCGTTTTTCCTCCTCTCTTCATGCGGTGCATTCCAGTCACTGGCTTTCTTGCCATGAATAACTTAGGCCTTCCTGGGGTGGGCGGCACTCGGTGTGGAATCCTTTTAATGTGACGCTGGGTTCAGTCTGCAGTATGTTTTCCCAGATTAAGGAAAAGCTGACTTCATAGAAGATGCTTGGAAAGCATTTTCCCTCTTCTGTCTTTTGGAAGACTTTGCGCAGGACCGGTTTTAACCACCCTGAAAAGGCTTGGCGGTGCTCACCCACCATGCCATCTGTCCTGGGGTTTCCTCTGCTACAAGTCTTTTGTATGGTTTCTGTTCTTTTCCTCTTTCTCCTTCAGTCGGTTTTGGTAACTTCTAGTATGTTTCTAGGGATTTGTCTGCTGCTTCTAGCTTATTTAACATGGTCACCTACAATTATTCATGGTAGATGTTTTAATCCTTTCAATTTCTGTAAGGGTGATTATGTCCACAGTTTTCTGATGTAATTATGTGTGTCTTCTTTTTTCCTTAGCCTAACCAAAGGCTTGCTGATTTTGTTCGTCTTTTCAAAGAGTTAACTCGTGCTTCCCTGTTGCCCTGTACTGTTCCTCTGTTTTTCTGTGACGTTTCTCTCTGACCTGATCACCGTCTCCTTTCCTCTGCTGGCTTTAGGCTGGTTTTCTCTTCTGTTTATAGTTCTGTCAGGTGCACACTTAGGTTTTTCATTTAAAATCTTCCTTCCTTTTTTAATTGAGTGATTTACACTCTCAGCTTTCTGAGCCCTGCTTTTGCTGCGCCCTGTAAGTTTTGGGAGGTTGTATTTTTATTTCATTTGTGCCACAGTATTTTCTAATTTCCCTAGCAGTTTGCCCTTTATTAGTGGCTGTTTTAGAGCAGGTAGCTGAGCTTCCAGTTTTCCTTCTGTTAATTAATTTAACTTTATTACACTGTGGTTGTAGGAATGCTTTTTGTCGTTTCAGGATCGGCACTTTTAAGTCCGTTCCCTCCCGACTGCTGCTCTTCCTAGGCGTTTTGTATATTATTGAAAGTCCAGTGTTGAAGCAGAACTACTTTTGTAGCACCGTTCTTTCATCAGTTCTGTCCAAGTTTGCTTTATATATTTTGGGGTTCTATTTTTGGTTGGCAGAGGTTTATAATTGTTTTATGATGAGTTGATCCTTTTATCAACAAATAACGCTCTTTATGATTTTTTGACTTTGAACTAACAACAGACAGAAGAGGTTCTGTCAGTCCTGCTCTCTTTTGATTTCTGTTTTCATGGTGCACCTTTTTTCCGTGTTTTTACTTTCATCCTGGTGGTGTGTTTAGGTCTGAAGTGAGTCTCTTAAAAATAGCGTGTACTAGATAATTTTTTCCCATTCTCTTTCATTTGATGAACTAAATCCATGTACATTTAAAGTGTTACAGATAATGCAGGACTTTATTTTTTATTCTTTGTTTTCTGTGTATCTTTTTTCTTTTGTGTCCCTCGGTTTCATCACTACTGCCTTTTGTC